ATATATATATATATATATATATATATATATATATATATATATATATATATATATATATATATATATATATATATATATACAGAGGAGGGTGAGATCAAGTCTACAATGGTCAGGTCTTAGGTAATGACCCTACTAATCTTCAAAAAGCACCGCAGCATTCGGTAGTCAGGTCAGAGGGTAAGCTGACCCAACCTTCTCACCTAGTTACAAATCTTCTTAATTACGAAATTATCCAGTTTGTACATACCATTACTCAAATTCATGTTGACGGATTCGGTATGTTTAATGAGACTAGATTCTATAATGTTCCTACTGTCAATTGAATTACAAGGTAATATTAAGGAGGCATTATCCCAGTCAATGCAATGCTTATTATCCCTCAAATGAACAAACAGAGCATTGGATTCCTGGCCTGTCCTAACACTATATTTATGTTGTTTAAGTCTAGTTACAAGATCTTTACCTGTCTGGCCTAAGTAAAACATATTACATTCCTTGCAAGGAACTTTATAAATGCAGCCACCTGTATTGTTGTGGGGGTTCTTGATTAACATTTGTTTAACAGTGCATGAGTTTTTAATTGCCACATTGACGTTCCAGGTTTTTAGTTGTAAAGGAATTTGAGAGAAATTTTTGTGAAATGGTTATACTAAGAGATTCTTATGGTCATGGGTGGGCTTGGGATCGGTTCTATAGAAAGATTTCTTTGTAATGTTAAGGCATTTATCTATGAGAGATCTAGGGTACTTAAGGTTCAAGCCAATATTATAGATATATTTATATTCCTCATCAATGAATTCCGGGCTGCAAATTCTCAAAGCACGTAAAAAAGTTGATGAAAATACTGACTGTTTGACTCTATTATGGTGGGCAGAATAATAATGAATGTATGAACACACATTAGTAGGTTTCCTATAAATACTGAACTTAAAGGTGTTACCTATTCTGTGGATCAGACAGTCTAGGAAAGGCAATTTACAGTGAATTTGATCGAGGGGGCTAAGTTGTTAAGTTGTGGCAGGAAAGCTTTTAGGTCCTCATTACATGGCCAGAGACATAATACATCATCAACATATCTAAACCAGACTGCTGAAGGTGGTAAAATATTACTTAATAGTTTCTTTTCAAAGAATTTCATATTAACTGTAGGTTGCTTAATACAGGTGAGAGTGGATTACCCATTGCCAAACCAAATTTTTGAGCATAATATTCTCCATTAAATTCAAATTTACAATCCTTAATTCATAGTTTGATGAGTTCGATGAAGTCGTCTTTCGAGACTGGCAATGGAATATTATCCAGGGAATCTATGAGGAACTCCAGTAAATCATCAACTGGGACCTTTGTAAAGAGTCATGGCTCTAACAAGGGAGTCGACAGTGTTTGACATAGCCAGAGCATTTTGCAATTCGTGTTTTCTTCTTTCCTTGTGGTTATTAGCATATGCATATTTTACAGTGGAATTGAAAAAAAACATAAGTATAATGGGGGAGCAGCACAACGTGGGTTGTACAGTAATAAGGTTGAACAAGAGGACAGAGCTGTCAGGATTATGTCTAGTTGGCAATTATGTTTATTGCAATGGTAATTACTTATCTATTTACATGATGATTTCCGATAAAACGGTTTTGATGGTACAATAAAAGCAGGTACTGTAAATGTAGTTAGGTGTTACAAGAAATATTAATTCTTAGACAACAGATATATTTTAGAGATGATTTAAAGGAAGGGAGCCTAGTCTTTGCTCGGATGGGTGGGGGGTAAGTTGTTCCACACCTTCACACCGTGATATTTTATGGAGGTCTGGGACTGAGAGGAGAACATGGAGGGTGGTCTTAGTAGTCCTGGGTGCCTTAAGTTGTATCTCTGATTATTACAGAACTGGAAATAATTATTGTCAAGCAACTGATTGATAAATTTGTAAACAAAGAGGGCACAGTAGTAGGTGTTAATATCTTCGAATTTTAACATTTTCAATATAGCAAATTTTTCGTTTGTGTGATCTGTTTTTTTCAAGTAGGACATTGTCCTTACAATTCTCTTTTGTGCAGTAACCAGAGATTGTGATTTTGAATAGCCAGAGAACCCCCATAGTGTGTGACAGTGTATCAGGTGTTGGTAAACAAGATTATGATAGATTTCTTTCATTGCTGTGAGAATGAGTGACTGTGGAGTGTGATACATGATACGGCACTGTTTATTGACTTTACTGTGAGTGGCTTGTTTGTGGTTTCTCCAGTTAAGTTTCTCATCAACAATAACTCCGAGGAATTTAGTATTTTGTTTGCATTTGAGGACTGTATTACCAAGGTACAGGGGGTCCAATTCTAGGGGTAAGTTTTTCCTTCTATGAAAGATCGTGTAGTCGGTTTTCTCAAGGTTTAAGGTCAGTTTAGTCAATTCAGTGTTCATAGTTCTCATCAAGGAATGGAGGTCTGATTTGCTGGCATGGAGATTACTATCGTCTACAAATATGTTGTATTTTATGAGTGTGCTGGCATGGACTATGTCGCTTATGTACAACAAAAACAGTACTTAACCGAGAATGGAACCTTGGGGGACGCCATACAAGATTGGCAGGGAGTCAGATTGGTGATTATAACAGACATACTGCATTCCTGTTGGACAGATATGAGGTCCTGTTGAAGTCCTGCTGTCAAAGTTGTGTGCTCATGCTAGGCATGTGGACTTTGTGTGTGATACTTGTACAAGTCCATCAATCAAAGACAATGAGCGACACATGAGTGGTGCAACTGAGGTCAACAATGTTATTGTTGGCCCTGAACAGAAGCGACCAAAAATCTTCAGTCATACACTGTCATTCGGCCTATTCAATACATCACTATTCAAATTCCTCGCAGCTGAATGGGAAAAGGACATCTACAAAGAAATGTTAGTCGGTCATGAAATTTATCCAGCACTAGAAGAAGAGGGTTATAAATTTGAAGTAAAAAGAGGATCAGTGTTTCGGCAGATTGTACCTGAACTTGGCTGTCAGCACGAGGAAGTAAACACACTAGTTGTTTTGCATGTGAATCTTATCAAGGAAACCATGACAGATGCGCAGGTTAGTGTTAGAGCAAATGACACAGATATATAGTGATCCTTCTTTACCATGTTGCAAATGGTGCTAGTACTACCAAAGTTTGGATATATAGGTGTTACTGCCCTTGCTGCTAATTTAGGAAAGACCATCTGCTCTGCCTTACCTGCAACGAATGTTTTTACAAGATGCGACTACACATCATCATTCATGCGAAAAGGAAAGGTACGCCCGTACGATATCAAGGAAAAGTCTAAGGATTTTCAGAGAGCCTTATCCAAGGTTGGGGATTATCCAGAAGTATCTCCAGATGTAATAATGTCATTAGAATCATTTGTGTGCACTCTCTATGGGAAGGAAAGTTTACAAGTGTGAATGATGCAAGATTTGCTTTGTTTAGGCAAAATAATGCATCTACTAATCATCGGCATCCACTTGAAAATATTAAGTATAGTGATCCGATCCATGCAGATCAGGTTTGGTTGAAAAAATTAAGCGTACAAACTATGTAGCATCGGTATGGAAGAAGGCAGACACAACAACTCCAGTACAGTGGCAAGCAGAAGACAGCGGCTGGGAACTCAAACATGGGCGGTATATAATAAAATGGTTTGAAGGTGATCAGATTCAACAGCAAATATGTGTAGCAATGGATGACACAACGAAGTTATCTAAAAATGAATTAACATATGAATCAGCAGTTGATTCAAATTATGATTCTGACTGATTTATACTCACAAATGCTCAGTTCATTTTGATATAAACATGTTTTGTCATAGGCATTTAATTCAAAGATTATAATCAAATAAAAAAAATTGTCTACGGTTTATCTTGTTCTTAAGTGTGATTCTATATGAATTTAAAATTATATATATCAGGGATAATATGCTTTTTTTTTTTACAGGTGCACCATATCATAAATTTTGTTGTAATATGTAAGGTAATATCTATGTTTCTATGATTTTAATAATGTGTATTTTTGTTATTTATAAAAACCCAACAAACGTACACAAAATCATAATATCAAATTACAATTATGGAGATGTTACTTCCCAGTGTGAAAAAAAATTGCCACCGGACGGTACAATTTTTAACCCTTTGCCACAGGTCTTTGGCCAGGCTGTATCAAGTAAGAAATGATATTTTAACTTACTCATAAGATATACATTTCAAAAATACCATCAAGCCTTTTGGCCCCCCTAGCTTTTGTTCTAGAATGATCTTGTCATCTTTTTCCAGCGGTTGCAGTTACACTCATGTTTTTGTAGATATGTGTCGTTGTCCACAGGATGTGTGGCAGATGTCTCTGTCAACTCTGATAACGCGGTCGAAATTTGTTTGACTTAGTATCAGAGAAAACAGGCAAAAAGTTCACAGATATCACGTTATACCGGAGTGACAAGGTAAAACCTATAGGTGGCAAGAACATGCACATCAAAGTCAAGGTGCGAGATGCTGTTGTACATCCAACAAGTCTACCTCTAACAGTGCTGCAACAAGTCTACCCCTAACTAGTGTTGCAACAAGTCTACCTCTAACTAGTGCTGCAACGAGTCTACCTCTAACTAGTGTTGCAATACAGTAAGTCTCCCCCAACGGCGCTGCAACAAGTCTACCTCTAACTAGTGTTGCAATAAATCTACCTCTAACTAGTGTTGCAATAAGTCTACCCCAACGGTGCTACAACAAGTCTATCTCCAACAGTGTTGCAACAAGTATGCATCCAGCGGTCCTGCAACAAGTCTGACTACAACAGTGCTGCAACAAGTCTACCTCCAACGGTGCTGCAACAAGTCTACCTCTAACTAGTGCTGCAACGAGTCTACCTATAACTAGTGTTGCAATACAGTAAGTCTCCCCCAACGGTGCTGCAACAAGTCTACCTCTAACTAGTGTTGCAATAAGTCTACCCTAACGGTGCTGCAACAACTCTACCTCCAACAGTGTTGCAACAAGTATGCATCCCGTGGTTATGCAACAAGTGACTACAACAGTGCTGCAACAAGTCTCCCCCAACGGTGCTGCAACAAGTCTACCTCTAACTAGTGTTGCAATAAATCTACCTCTAACTAGTGTTGCAATAAGTCTACCCCAACGGTGCTGCAACAAGTCTACCTCCAACAGTGTTGCAACAAGTATGCATCCAGCGGTCCTGCAACAAGTCTGACTACAACAGTGCTGCAACAAGTCTCCCCCAACGGTGCTGCAACAAGTCTACCACTAACTAGTGTTGCAATAAATCTACATCTAACTAGTGTTGCAATAAGTCTACCCCAACGGTGCTGCAACAAGTCTACCTCCAACAGTGTTGTAACAAGTATGCATCCAGCGGTCCTGCAACAAGTCTGACTACAACAGTGCTGCAACAAGTCTACCACCAACTAGTGCTGTAGCAAGTCAACCTACAACAGTGCTACAACATGTATACCTCTAACAATGCTGCAGCAAGTCTACCTCCAACGGTGCTACTACAAGTATACCTCCAACAATGCTGCAACAACTATACCCCCAACAGTTCTGCAACAAGTGTACCTCCAGCTAGTGCTACAACAATTATACCTCCTACAGTGCTGCAACAAGTCTACCTGCAGCTAGTGCTACAACAAGTATACCTCCAACAGTGCTACAACAAGTATACCTCCAACAGTGCTGCAACACCTATACCCCCAACAGTTCTGCAACAAGTGTACCTCCAGCTAGTGCTACAACACTTATACCTCCTACAGTGCTGCAACAAGTTTTCCTCTGACTAGTGCTGCAAAAAATCGACCTCCAACTAGTGCTGCAACAAGCATGCCTCCAACAGTGCTGCAACACGTACACCGCCAACTAGTGCTGCAATAAGTACATCGCCAACAGTGCTGCAACAAGTCTACTTTCAACAGTGCTGCAACACGATTACCTCCAACAGTTCTGCAACAAGTGTACCTCCAGCTAGTGCTACAACAAGTATACCTCCAACAGTGCTGCAACAAGTCTACCTGCAGCTGGTGCTACAACAAGTATACCTCCAACTAATGCTGCAACAAGCATACCTCCAACAGTGCTGCAAAACGTATACCACCAACTAGTGCTGCAACAACTATATATCCAACAGTGCTGCAACAATTCTACCTCCAGCTAGTGCTGCAACAAGTATACCTCCAAGTAGTGCTGCAACAAATTTATATCCAATAGTGCTGCAAGAAGTATACCTCCAACTAGTGTTACAACAAGTAAACCTGCAACTAGTGCTGCAACAAGTTTTCCTCCGACTAGTGCTGCAAGAAGTATACCTCCAACTATTGTTGCAGTAAGTATACCTCGAACTAGTGCTGCAACAAGTATTCCTCGAACAGTGCTGCAACAAGTCTACCTCCAGCTAGTGCTGCAATAAGTTTACCTCCAAACAGAAATGCAACAAGTATTCCTCCAACTAGTGCTGCAGCAAGTCTAATTTCAACAGTGCTGCAACAAGTATACCTCCAAGTAGTGCTGCAATAAGCTTACCTTTAACTAGTGCTGTAACAATTTTACCCCCGACTAGTGCTGCAACAACTACAGTATACATCCAACAGTGCTGCAACAAGTTTATCTCCGTCTAGTGCTGCAACAAGTTTACCTCCGTCTAGTGCTGCAACAAGTTTTCTTCCAACCAGTGCTGCAACGGGTATACCTCCGACTAGTGCTGCAGCAAGTATACCTCCAACCAGTGCTGCAACAAGTATACCTCCAACTACTGCTGCAGCAAGTATACCTCCAACTAGTGCTGTAGCAAACATACCTCCAACTAGTGCTGCAACAACTACAGTATACATCCAACAGTGCTGCAACATGTATACCTCCAGCTAGTGCTGTAGCAAGTATACCTCCAACTAGTGCTGCAACAACTACAGTATACATCGAACAGTGCTGCAACAAGTTTTCTTCCAACTAGTGCTGCAACAAGTTTTCTTCCAACTAGTGCTGCAGCAAGTATATCTCCAACTAGTGCTGCAGCAAGTATACCTCCAACTAGTGCTGCAGCAAGTATACCTCCAACTAGTGCTGCAACAAGTTTTCTTCCAACTAGTGCTGCAGGAAGTATACCTCCAACTAGTGCTGCAGCAAGTATACCTCCAACTAGTGCTGCAGCAAGTATACCTTCAACTAATGCTGGAACAACTACAGTATACATCCAACAGTGCTGCAACAAGTTTTCTTCCAATTAGTGCTGCAGCAAGTATACCTCCAACTAGTGCTGCAGCAAGTATACCTCCAACTAGTGCTGCAGCAATAGGGTGTGTCATACGGAGGCGAATTTTTTTTTTTTGAGTTTGAAAAATCGGCCCATGGTATTAATGATGTAGTTCTATGTGCAGAATCATGTGATATCTTCAGATTTGAAAAGTGTTCATTTTTTGCTAGGTAAATTTTAACTTGAAATCTTATGAAAATTCAGTATTCCCACCCTTTTACCAACACCACTAAATAGCTTATTTAAAGTAAAGTAAATGTATCAGGTTAATTTATTAGGATGGAAATGATCCAGAATAGTGAAACGAATGATCTTGACACATTTATTAAATTTAATATTCCTTTAGAAAACAAAATCATCAAATACAAAAACCGGTTTTACTACTACTAGCTGGAGGTATACTTGCTGCACACCAGAGAACATGTCTTTCTTGCTTCTGTTTCTACTCATCACCTCCCTGCTGACCACCTGAGCTCGGATGTAGCCTTCCCTCCTCTCCTGGCTGTACACGTGACTGCTGGCCTCGCTCACTTGCTGTACACAACGCTCTATACTCTGGGTGTGCGAGGGCCAGGCAGGGACATGCATGGGGTTGTCCATGAAAGCTCTGACTTGAACATTGGTGAGGCTGCAGGTAAGAGGGGGCTCACTGCCAGCCTGGATGTTATCCAAATCTATGAGATCAGTGAGGGTCTTGGCACCTAGATTGACTTCAGGAGTCTTCCTGACCCTGAAGGAATCGTCACCAGCTGATTCGTCATGCCCAGATCCTCTCATAAGTTTCATATCCAAGATCTTTTTGACTGCCACTCTTCTCTCCTCCTCATTCTTACTGCAGAGCATTGTCTGCAGAACTGTCTCGGGATGAGCATACCAGGAAGATCTCCTCACAGTCTGCTCCGCAATCTGAACAACCTTCCTTGGCTGACTCCTCAGGAGCTCAAGCTGGAAGAGAACATGCCTCGGACCTTCGGAGAACGATGACTTGACCTTGGTGTTGAACCAATTTGGCAAGTAGACACTCACGATGAATTGGACAATAAGTCTCAGGTTGTGAAGCTGGTTCCCTTTCAGTTTATGATGAGCGACCCAAATTCTGCAGAACCTGAGAGCCGTTGTGAGCCACCTAGAATGTGAGACTGGACCTATCTGCAGGTAAGCAAGTCTATCAGGCATGACCCCAGTTTTGATGGCACTGCAAATCATGTAACCATAGTACTGGTCAGTACTCAGGTCGTCAATGACAGTATGTGCAAGCTCAACGAGTGGAGGGCCAAATGTGATTTTTTCAAAGCTCGGATTTATTTATAACTCAGTGGCAGAGTCCAGCATCTTGCCAAGAGGACCAGACCATCTGTTGTTTGAAAGAGTCTTGCCATCCAGCTCCTGGATCAGATGTTTGAGTGGCAACTCGTTGGTGTGGAGGTCACAAACAATCCAGACCAGCTTCCTCCCAATCTTCCGCTCTATCCACTGTATGACCCCCCCTTGCCACCCTGTGTTCGTGTTGGTGCTGTCCCCTCCAATGGCCTGCAGGGTCTGGTCTACGTTCCTCTCTCTGAGCCAGTTCACAATGTTATCTGCCACTATCTCAGCTGGTTTCCTGATGTCATCTTTCTCTGGAGTGAAATGCCACAAATACTTCCCTCCTGGTTCACTGCAGCAGGAGTAGTGTTCCTCCTTCACCATGGCAGGGAACAACTTGTCAGAATCTCCAACTTTCATGAACACTTTAGTGTCATCCCTTCTCCCATCAAAGAACAAACAATTGATTCCATTTTCTCTTATCCCCTTATCAAACTCCTCTTCTAGGTTACTGACAAGTTTCTCCTGAGCTCTCCTTACTTTGTTATGATATATCACCAGGTGAACATCATCAGGTGTTATCAAACCACCGTCAATCCAGGCAGCTGTTGCTATCTCTGCAGTTTCTCTGAGACCAGTGTGGTGTCGCATGCTGGCCAGAGCTATGCTCGGGATATCTTTCCTATTTCGAATCTTATGCCTGGAAGGTTTGGGATCATTATTTTCTGGGTTAGGGACAAAGTCACCATTCTCCTGGTCAGCACTCGGATCAGCCATGGGGAAGTCATTAAACTCTGAATCAGCTTGACTCCAATCATCGGCCTTTTTTACCTCACTCTGGGCCTTCTCAAGTCTCTTTTCCTCGGCAACTCTTCTCCTCTTCTGCCTCTCTGTGGCAGCCTCCTGTCTCTTGGACTCCGGAATATCTTGGCTAGAAATCATGAGAGCCCCTATACTGCCAGTCTTCTCTCTCTGTGCTTTGACAAATGCCAGTTCGATCACAGGAATCTTCAGTTCACGCTTGCAAATACAGGAGATGTGGGCCTCGGATTTACAGTCACGATCGCATCCAAACTCAGGACAGAGAACAATTGGGCACTTGCAAGTAATTATGTCAAATAACTGGTCCAGTTGCTTGGCAAAGCTGTCCTTAACTGCAAGTTTTCCTCTCCCAAGAGAGATATCTCTTGCCTTTTCCCAACTGGCTAGCAGTCTCTCACTAATCTTCTTCTGACTTGTTATGACTGGAGGCTTGAACTGAGCGTTAGCCAGAGTGTACTCTGCCAAGACAGCTTTGGTCATATCACTGGCAATGTCTTTGTTTGTGTAAGTTCTTTGGTTCTTTTCACTGATTTGCCTGATTAAAACACCGTATCTCAAAGCATCTCTCAATGTAGGCAACTCCGACTTCAGGAGCTCTCTCCCAGACCCAAGATAGTGACTGAGATGGCTGGATTTTTGGTTCCTCGTCCTGACACAAGCATCCATCGCAAATATTATCAACTTATAAATGCATCAGAATATGAAACAGAAAAAAATATTGTTACTTGGGTTGTTAAAGAATGAAGTCAGAAAGCAATGTTCACTATTTAATTGTAATGCACTAATGCAGCTGTACGTTAGATTTTCGATAAATTTCACGCTAAAATTTACCTAGCAAAAGGTTGCAAAATATTGAAACTGAAATTATTTTCTGTTTATATACACTAAAATCTACCAAAAAAGTGATGGGCCATTAGTTTTAGCTGATCTTCCCTCCTATGACACACCCTTCTGCAGCAAGTATACCTTCAACTAGTGCTGGAACAACTACAGTATACATCCAACAGTGCTACAACAAGTTTTCTTCCAACTAGTGCTGCAACAAGTATACCTCCAACTAATGCTGCAGCAAGTATACCTCCGTCTAGTGCTGCAACAAGTTTACCTCCGTCTGGTGCTGCAACAAGTTTTCTTCTAACCAGTGCTGCAACAAGTATACCTCCAACTAGTGCTGCAACAACTACATTATACATCCAACAGTGCTGCAACAAGTTTACCTCCGTCTAGTGCTGCAACAAGTTTTCTTCCAACCAGTGATGCAACAAGTATACCTCCAACTAGTGCTGCAACAAGTTTTCTTCCAACTAGTGCTGCAACAAGCATACCTCCAACTAGTGCTGCAACAAGTTTTATTCCAACTAGTGCTGCAACAAGTATACCTCCAACCAGCGCTGCAGCAAGTATACCTTCAAATAGTGCTGCAAAAAGTTTTCTTCCAACTAGTGCTGCAACAAGTATACCTCCAACTAGTGCTGCAACAAGTTTTATTCCAACTAGTGCTGCAACAATTATACCTCCAACTAGTACTGCAACAAGTATACCTCCAACTTGTGCTGTAACAAGTTTACCTCCAACTAGTGTTGCAACAAGTATACCTCCAACTAGTGCTGCAAGCATCTCTACAAAATGAACGTTATTATTTTTACCGCACTATGTGCATGTGATTAGTACTCATATCAAGTGCTTTTTTTGTTTTCGGATACCCTAGTTCTATAGTTTGATTAAATTCTACTGTACATTAATTTTTTCACGTTGATTTTGGGTAGATATTGCCCGAATATCATGGGTATGCAATTTGGTATTAACAAACCATTTCACTTAATATTTTGTCAGAAAATCTACGTTTATTTATTTATGTGCATTTCTTTTATATCAAGTCAGACTACGCAAAAAATGTTAAAAGACGGCCATCTTAGAAAGCCATTTTTTGTTTCCGAGTTAGCGCAGGGATGGTAGGGGACTTATGTTTTTGTTACGTATTTATGAATCTTTCCTGGCATGTTCTGTTTGTTACCAATTTTTTAATGGTTGAACATTATTGCTCAAGGATTTGTTACCCTAAAAGACTTCAATTACATTTATCTTATTTTTAGTGTGTTGGTATTATTTTTGTGAGTCTGTGAAATATATTCCCAATAATTTCAGTCGTGTACACGTTCAGATTGATTCATCAATATAAATTAAAACTCACTTGGCACATGGTTGAGCTTGAGATACGAAGTGAAAATATCGAATTTTTAGTTGAGCGAGTGGAAGCTAACAATTTATACCCTCAGTGACTTCATCCTTACCTCATAGGTAAGTTTAATTTAGGCTAACAAGGTAAGGTTTGGTAAACGCAGGAGAAAAGCCAACTTTAGTAGCATCGCCCGATTTCAATGGCATACAATAGAAATATACCAATGGCCTTTAAAGTTCATCAATACATCCCTTAAAATATTAAAAAAAATGTCTTCTGGTGCGATGGCTCTCGCAAAGAACACTGCGAGACTGTCGCTATGTATTGGTAAGGTTGGTATCTCTGATTGTGTGAGTCATTGTAATACTAATGTGCTGTTATTCCTTATATTATGTGTAGTAACCACAGAGAAATTATCGGGAATACATATAAACCCATATCACTAAAACCAGATTATGTCATAACATTATATACTATACCGTAGTATTACGTTCAATCACCCAAATACGGTGGGAATGGCAGGCACTCTAGAAACTGAGGTGCCGTATAGGAATTTCGCATATATTTTTTTTTTTTTTTATTGGGCACCCCCCTACACCCTGTGTAAGGTGAAGCGCAGAAGCGTTTACAGTGCCCAACAGGGAAGGATGCTAAATTCATGCTTGCGTTTATGTCTCATGAGTTACAGGCATAGAAGCCTGAAGAGTCAAGGGCGTAGAAGCCTGAAGAGTCAATGGTTTATTGGCATAAACTTTCGATTTACAACCGGTACCTGTACATTACTGCTAGGTGAACAGGGACCAATGAGGGCTAGGAAGTATGTCCAAACAACTTTTCCACCGGCCCGGGAATCGAACCCGTGACATCTTGCTTGCGAGGCAAGAGCGGTACCGTTCTACCATCGGCGCCCCCAATTTCGTATACTATGAGATGAAAGGAAATTGTGTAAATACTCATGATTATAACCACTATCTGAGAAAGTGATGAGAAGTGGCATAGTACAAAACCTCAACCAGAAAAAAAATACGAAACATTTGTAACGTAGGAAAGTTATACAATATTACGCATTGATAACTGAGCTACCGGAAATATGTGAGTTAAGAAACGAGCTATATATCTCTTTAATATTTCACAATATATGATAAGAATAGGGGGGTGACTGGGGTAACTGGTACTAAAATTCACAAACCAAAAACATTGTCATTGTTATTTAACACAGTGTAGCAAAGAATTTCGTCAGAGGAAGTGTGCTCGTTTAAAAGAGTGTAATGAATATGTTAGAAAAGGTTCAGTTTCGATCTGCATAGGGCAGACCATCAGAGCAAACAGCAGGAGTTGTAATAGGCCATACTCCAGTCATAGTTATGTTAGTCATTATGAAGACCCCAGAGAGAACACGCGCAACAATCAGAGCACTTCATGGAGAGGGCCTGATCAATGGTGGGATTGATAGGCGGTTCCCCCTCTCTCTCACTCTTTCTCACTGTATTAGAAATATCTACCGCTTAGTTATAGGTTTAGATAGTTAATTGGAGATATGAAGGAGATACTGTATTAATAACTGAATGGAACCTTTATGTTGCACATGTCACGCATCTGTAGTCGGCAGTATTTAGGAAATCCAAGGTAATGTCACGCATGTGGAATCATCTACCTGGCTACCACATAGTCAATACCAGGATGGCAACACGTTATTATGTTCTCTCTTCAATCTCTTTTATGCATTTTCCCAGTAATGAAGCAGGACATATGGTTGGAACCCGGAGATGTGACAGAGTCAGTGCTGGTGTATTCGGATGGATTCATGCATCGGTGTAGGGGAGCTGGCAGATGTCGGTCCGGGTCGGTTTACAGGGAGAAAATATGTCGAGATATTGGAGGAAGTCCTGCTTCCTTCAGTGAAACGCTTGCCCTGAAGGAACCCCATTCTATCTCTAGCAAGACAACTCTCCCATACACACGAGTAATGTTGTCAAGAGTTGGTTTCAGAACCACCCACATGTTTAGGCTTCTGCCACATCCTCCAAAATCGACAGACCTCAACCCCATAGAAACATATGGGCAGAAATGGTCAAACAGATCGGTTCAACAACATCCCCAGCCGTAACAGAGAACGAGTAATTGCTAATGCAAAGATGGTATGGGAAGATATGAGAGGCACGGCCGGTCAGGCCTTGATCCAGAACTTGTGTGCATCCATGCCTAACAGGGTCAATTGTGTCATTGACGTAGGGGGTGCTACACTAAATAGTGATAGAAACAAAATGACAATCACAAATTACACATGTTTACCTATCATAGGTTTGGTTAGGTTAGGATATTTGAACATATATTACACGAGAATCAATGAATTCAATTTCTGTTTATATACTACGGCTGTAATATATCAGGGTGATTCAGCAAAAAGTACATTAAATTGGAGGATGAAATCCTTGGATAATTCTAAACCACAATGTCTCTGTGGTAAAATGACAGACTCTGCATAGTTTCCATGTTACAATACATTTAAGATGTTGTATTAATGGGAGTGAATTTTAAGTGAAACCCCCATAGGTTTGTGTAATCATTTATTCACAGATCTCTACAGTGTGACCCCTCTTTGTTACAACCTAAAGAAAATATTCAAAGTTGCCCCCGTCTGCCTCAATGCAGGCTTGTACACGTCGTACCAATGATTGTCTGACTCTTTCCAGAATGCCTGGACTATGTTTAATTTGCTCGCACCTGTCACAAACACGTGGGCTTATACAGAATCTGACATTTTACCATAGAGACATTGTGGTTTAGAATTATCCAAGGATTTCATTCTCCAATTTATTGTACTCTTTGTTGAATTACCCTGTATACCCATCTTCCATCTGCCATGAATATCAACCTCGCTTTGACCACCAAAAAAGTGTTTACCTTAAAATAACATGCGACCATACCAGCCGCGGCCCTTCTACTGCATATCATTAACCTATGTTAGAACCTTATCGTCTTGTCTAAGACGTGACTGGGTGTTTACGTCTGTTACATTAATATAATGATAAGCATTCACTCAAAGGCCTTTATGCTGCGGATACCGATCGGCATTGGCAATTGCTTTTGATATTAATTCGATTATTTTATAAATATAGTTATATGATGTTAACTGCTCTATTCGTATCTTGTAACACATTGTGCACGCAGACACACTGAAACACCTTATGGTAAATACTATCTACAAAGTAACTGGCAACTCAGGAAGCCAGGTTAACCAACATCCATTTTGGCTCCTGAGTGTTTTCAGAATTCTTGGTCCGGTGTGTCATACTGTAGGAACCCGTAAAGGTGCAGAATACTATTTTGCTTACTGTACACTTGTTTAAATTCGTAACTACTCACTACTAGTTTACATAGTTTATTTTCTTTCCCAACGCTTTGTATATTAGTTACTTTAGGAACCATATTTAGGAACATAAGAGCATAAGAATGGAGGAAACTGCAGTGGGCCTATTGGCCTACTGTATACTAAGTAGCACTCTTTTCTCCCAACCCCCCAACCCCTGTATTAGAAGCTCCCCAGCGTCTTCGATTTAATGATAGTGTTCGATAACTTGTTCCACTCATCCACTATATTTAGTCCAGAGGATAAGGGAAATCTCGTGCACTTTTTGACTATAGAAGATTGATACTTTATGCACTGATACTAGAACCCAAGGGGAACATTTTAAAGATTGGAGGCAATCTGCATCTGCCTGCTAGTAGCTGTGGCAGCCACATTAAAATACACAATATCTCAGCTTCTATTGCAGTTAGACCTTTGACTTTTGTGGCTTTACCCTTGTTTTCAGACCCTTGGAATGAAATAGTAATATTGATATTGCTTTACGATGTATCATTCATCTTGAAATCCAAGTTGACAGGTAAAATGGAGACTTTTTGTCACCTCGATGTGACCAATTCTGGCATTATGATAACACATGCAGCAGATTTACTCTTCTAATTTGTTATCTCACTTTAAATACATACAAACAACAATAAATGTAACAATCCTCTATTAATATATATTTTTTTATACAGGAATAACTAGTATTCGAGATTTGGAATTAAGTCAGACTTACCTCCTCTTCTCGAAGACTTGTTACCACTCCATTAGAGTGCCAGTTTCCAACACGATGCAAATATGGGTAATTCTTGATGGTGCAGCAACTGTCAATATGGTCAAGCCAGGTACTTGCAAGAGTTTTGATGATTATGTTCACCAGATAATGGAATACATCAGACGTCAATTTCAAGGTTCTGTAAAACGTGTTGATAAGGTGTTTGTTGTATACAAAGTAGATAGTTTGAAATCTGCCACAAAATAAAATGAAGGGGCATGGTACCAACTGACGAGTTGAGGGAAGATAAAAGCTCCCAGGGAATTGGTTGGACTTACTGCGAGAATGAAAATAAGAAAGAGGTATTCTCTCTTATCAGTACTCAGG